CCTTCCAACCTTGACAATTCTGTGATTCTATGGTTCTGTGATTCTTGTAGTAGAGGCTCCAGAACTACTCGCTGAACAGCCACTTTAGGGGAGAACGAACTGAGAGTGCCTTGGGTTGCTCTCCAAAACCAGAGCGATGCTGCAGGCATGTGGTAGCTGCTGCTAAAACCTGCCCTGACTGCTGGGTACCTCAAAGAGCCGCTGAGCGTTGCCCAGGCCAGGGAAGGCTTTGAAAGGTCGTCTTGCAACCCAATCATGGGGTCAGTAATGGCCGTGCTGGTACAGAAGCATCATAAATACTTTAATACTGTCAGAAATTGTTGTGGTGTATGGAAATATCTGGCTAGATTTGCAAAAGGCTCTTTCCTCTAAGATCACAGAATCACCCAGATTGGAAAAGACCTTTAAGACCATCAAGTCCAACCCTTAACCCAACACTCCCTGACAAGTCCTCGACTAAACCACATCCCTGAGCAACGCGTCTACATAATCCCTGCAGGGACGGGGACTCCCCCCTGCCCTGGACAGCCCATTCCCAGTGGCTTTTGGTAAAGAATTTCTTCTTATAGTGAGGGGCCATGGACTCCAAATTCAGAGGATGCTGCAGTGCAGCAGCATCTTGGATCATCCAGTGTGTGTGTGAAGCTTTGAGTGACTATAAGCGTCATGATTCCAGGAAATAATTGTATTTACATGTGTGAAGGCCAAGTATCCCCATCCTATGCCTGGCAGGGTGCAGTCACCGGCTGCTAGTGAAAATTAAATGTGCTTAATGTCTGTGTTCCACCGTTTCTGAAGGGCAGTACCGGGGAGAGGGCAATGCTGCAGCTGGTGTGTGGGTAAATAACCGAGAACTTCCTTGGGCTTCGAGCGCCTCCGGGTTCCTGATCAGTGGTTCATGAAGCTCAGCAGAGCCTGCTCTGGGGCTGCTCTTGAAATTGAGCTGGTTCTTATGGCTGTATGAAAATGTACTTATAAAATAATTTTTCTTTCTTTCTCTCTTTCTCTTTCTTCTCTTTCTCTTTCTCTTTCTCTCTTTCTCTTTCTCTTTCTCTTTCTCTTTCTCTTTCTCTTTCTCTTTCTCTTTCTCTTTCTCTTTCTCTTTCTCTTTCTCTTTCTCTTTCTCTTTCTCTTTCTCTTTCTCTTTCTCTTTCTCTTTCTCTTTCTCTTTCTCTTTCTCTTTCTCTTTCTCTTTCTCTTTCTCTTTCTCTTTCTCTTTCTCTTTCTCTTTCTCTTTCTCTTTCTCTTTCTCTTTCTCTTTCTCTTTCTCTTTCTCTTTCTCTTTCTCTTTCTCTTTCTCTTTCTCTTTCTCTTTCTCTTTCTCTTTCTCTTTCTCTTTCTCTTTCTCTTTCTCTTTCTCTTTCTCTTTCTCTTTCTCTTTTCTTTCTCTTTTTCTCTCTCTCATCTTTCTCACCTCTCTCTCTTTCTCTTTTTCTCTCTCTCATCTTTCTCACTTTCTCTCTCTTTCTCTTTCTCTTTATCTCCTTTCCCTCCCTCGCTCCCTCCCCCTCCTCTTCTCTCTCTCATATCTTTCTCGTTTTCCCGCTTTCTCTCTTTCTTTCTCTCTTTCTCTCTTTCTCTCTTTCTCTCTTTCTCTCTTTCTCTCTTTCTTTCTCTCTTTCTTTCTCTCTTTCTTACTCTCTTTTTTCCCTCTCTCTCTCTCTCATCTCTTTCTTGCTTTCTCTCTCTCTTTTTTCCGTCTTTCCCTCTTTCTCTCTTTCTCTTTGTAGGAAGTATTGTGAGTGTGGGTGATCCAAAAAAGAAGTACACGTGTTTCGAGAAGATTGGACAAGGGTTAGTATATTCTCCTCCTCTCTGTCCTCTACCTTGCCTTAAGCTAAGAAGGAAGCACTGAAACCGGGCTAAGTTAGTTTGCTGGAAAAACTGTGATGCTTTGGCAAGTTGGTTTATTTGGGGGTTTTTTTGGGGGTTGTTTTGGTGGGTTCCACCCTGACCTGCTCATCTCTTCTTCCTTTCCTGGCAAAGTCTGGATTCACAGGGATTGGATATTTTTTTTTTTTGTAATTGTGTTTTAATGTAAGAAAATACATCATTAAGTGATCAGGTTGCTAAATATAGCTGCAGCCAGGGAAGGAACTGCTTATTTTCAGCATGCAAGGCGATCTTCAAATCACAGATTGGCTTTTTCTTTCCCTTACGAGGGACTTTGTTCTCCATAAATTCCCTGGCTTCTGCTGCAACAGCAGTCTTGACTCAGAAATATTTCAGATTACATTCACCACTGGAATTATTGTGTGAAAAGGAATGGGTGAGAGCCCTTCAAACAGACAAGTGGGAAGGGGCATGTGTTATGCTCTCAGTCTTGCTATGAGGCGCTAGGGTGGTTTTTTTTTCTTTTCTCTCTTTTGTTTAGAGCCTCAGGTACAGTTTACACAGCAATGGATGTAGCTACAGGACAAGAGGTAAGTGCTACCAGACAGCCTCAGCAGTGGATTTTGGATTGTGTCCTAAAAATTCGAGTTGATGCTACAGAATAAAGACGGTCGTTCAGGGGTTCATGCCATCTTGTTTGTAATGAGGTATTTTTTTCCGTACTAATGAGACATGGTTGAGTGGTCTGAGCAGAGAACTGGAAAAAAATTCTTTCCTGAGTTTTGATTTTTTGAATCATTTTGCATTTGTAAAGAATCTCTCTGGCTACAAAGGCTAGAAGCAAATGTTCAAACTGGTGAGTTCCTCAGCAGAATTTTATCTCTTCATTCCCAAGATTCCTGCCTGTCCCCATTTAAACACTTTTATATACTCTCTGCTCCTTTGCTTCTTACACTTTTACTAGTTCACTTGCACAGAAGTAGAACCTTTCCCACCCTTTGCCTGCTTGCCTTCTGCCCTTGAATTGAGAGACAAGCAGTGTCTGCCTGTATTTTTATTTTTTTCCCCCGAATACTGATAAGTGCCCTGTGTATCACACGCGTGCGTAATGAGCTAGTAGGGATGTGGCTACGCAGTATCTGTGGAAACAGTTATTGCTAGATGGAGGATTTTAAAAGAGGAAAGTGTATGCATTATTCCAAATATATTTATGGAAATCTGCAGCAACGCATGTCTGCTTTGCATTTGTACAATGCCAGCCTTATCCACTGGTGAATTCCTTAATTGTGCTTTTTTTCTGAAACTCCTTCACCCCCTTTTCCAGTTCCTGAGTTGGAATTGCAGGATGGTTTGAGTTGGAAGGGACCTTAAAGTCCATCCACCTGGTTTCAACCCCCCTGCCCTGGGCAGGGACCCCTCCCACCAGAGCAAGTTGCTCCAGGCCCCATCCAGCCTGGCCTTGGGCACTGCCAGGGATGAGGAACTTCTCTGGCAACCTGTGCTGGGGTCTCACCCCTCAGTGAAGAAGAAATTCTGGCTGCAGGAGCTCACAGAGTTGCTAAATGGCTGAGCAACCCACAATGAAAAAGTGTTTTCCTGATTCATGTGAGCACGGGACTGAAATGATTGACACCAGTACTGGTGGTTTTCTGGGGGATTCCGGTAATCATGCTTTACTCGGTCTTTCTCCGCTACAGGTCGCAATCAAACAGATGAATTTGCAGCAGCAGCCCAAAAAAGAACTGATTATTAATGAAATTCTCGTGATGAGGGAAAACAAAAACCCCAACATTGTCAACTACTTGGACAGGTATGTCGTGGTTTGAAGAGTTGGCAAAGGGACTCTGGAAAACGCTTCCTCGTCACCATCTTAAGTGATCTTGTCACAGCTTCATGCAGATGTAGAACCACCTCCCGTTTCTTAATGGTGGCCTCTCTCTGTATTCTAGGAGAAGCAGGTATCTCAGTTGGTATTAGTGGGGTTTCTCCAAAGCTCTCACTAGAGATGCTGGCAGCAAACGCAGGCACGGTTATGCTGACAGGACCCTGGTTTTCATTTCTCTCCTTTGCCAAACTGGACACAACAAAACACTTCCTTCCCGCTGCTGGAGGAGAAATAGCGTGAGCTGTGTTGTTTGTCCTTGCTTTTCTCTTCCTCTTCTTTCCTCTTCCACTGAGCAATGCTGACACTCCGCTTGTGGAGGAGCAAACTCCTTCCAGGGTGAGAAGGCAATCTTGTCCCTGTGGCTGTCTACTGAGGTTTTCTTCACAGTGGCGTAAGAGTGACAAGGGTGAGTGGCAGCTGACACAGAACCAAGCAAATTCGGGATTTTGTGGATGTGAGTGAAGGAGAAAAGGAGACCTGGTACAGACCTTGGAAGACAGAGGGAGTGGAGTTATTCCCTGCTCAGAGCTGGGCTTTGTGGTCTCCTTACTTTACATCCATGTGTGACAGCTCCTTCTTGAATCCCTGCTTCCCATTACTGTAAGAGCTGCACCCAACAGCTTATCTAGGTCCAGACCCACTTGGTCTTAGAATCATAAAATCATTCTGGTTGGAAAAGACCTTCAAGATCATCAAATCCAACCGTTAACTAACTCTGCCAGGCCCTCTTCTACACCATGTCCCTGAGCACCTTATCTGGACGGCTTTTAAACACACCCAAGGATGGGAATTCAACCACTTCTGGGCAGCCTGTTCCATCTTTGGTAACCCCTTCCATGTAGAAGTTTTACCTAATGTCTAACCTCGACCTCCCCTGGCATGACTTGAAGACATTTCCTCTTGTCTCGTCAGTTGTAACTTGTGAGAAGCTCTTGAGCTGATGTCCCTCGGACTACCGCGATGACAGAAGCAAGTCACACTGAGTGTAAACTATTCTTAAAATAAACACATGTAGCCATGAAAATTCTGGTCACTAGAGCTCAAAGCAGTAAAAGACTCAAGTCTGCGAACAAACGTGGCTGTGAGAGCTCCTCCCCACGGGGGGGTTGATGTTGTACGTGAGGCTGGCAATGGCTCTTTGGAGGTTGAACGCTTTTGGAAAGAACAACTGGTAAATATGCCTGTTTGAGGGGAAGGAGCTCCTTTTGAAAGTGCAAGAAATTCTTGCATCTCCGAGTTTTGAATTCCAGGGAGCAGTCACAAACTGTCGGCGTTGACATCTAAGAGCCCAACAGCCAAAAGCGTTGCATGGTGGCTTGGATTCGCTGCCAGCGTCCTCTTAGTCCTCATGAACTCTGGACTCATGTTCTTGTAGGGTAAAGAGTGTCCAGGTGGGATGAGCTGCAGGCTTTCATCTTGGCAGCTCAGTTCTTATTGTATTTTTTGAAGATGCAGTGACCTAGAATCAATTTGGGAAGTCGGGGAGTATTTGCACACACCTGCATGAAAATCCTATCAGCTGTTTCTGTCACAGGTTTCTTTGACAGGCTTTTGAGGTCTTAGCCAAAAAAAAGTCCTTGTGTTACTGCAGCATCGGTTGCGACGCTGAATTTATAGGGTGCTGTGGCTGTAAAGAGCTGCCTTGTCGAAGGGAGGGGAAAAACCCACTCCTGAAATTTTGTGGATGGGGTGTGGGCACAGGGAAGTGATGCTGGGCCATCCCAGCTGCAGCTTTTGTCGCCGGAAGTTTGAACGAGATGGCAGGAGGTGCAGCTGCTTTTGTCCTCCGCTTTCTCTCACCTTTTTTTTTTTTTCCCCCAAGGAAATAGCTTTTCTTTGAGCACTGCTTCAGCTTTGCAGCTGCAGGATCTTGGTGCTGGAGAGCTGCGTCCCTCCTACCTGGCCGAAACGTGCCCGTTGGCTTCCTGCGCGCTGAATCGAGCTCCTGTTGGGATGCTTTCGCTGGCTTCTTGGAACTGCGGGACCGTTTTCTTGGGTTTGCCAATCTGTTTTTGGCAGTGTCTCCTCTTGAGTCCCTAAGCAGGAGCAGGGAGGGGATTGCCCCCCTGTGCTCGGCCCTTGGGACGCCACCCCTGGAGTGTTGTGTCCAGTTCTGGGCACCTCAACCCAAGAGAGATCTCGAGGGGCTGCAGCGAGGGCAGAGGAGGGCGACAGAGCTGGGGAATAAATGTGATGAAGAGCGACTGAAGGAGCTGGGGCTGTTGAGTTTGAGGAAGAGGAGGCTGAGGGGAGCCCTCATCCCTCTCTGCAACTGCCTGACAGGACGTTGTGGAGAGGTTGGGGCTGGTCTCTTCTCACGGGGAAGGAGCGACAGAACCAGAGGGAACGGCTGCAAACTGCACCAGGGCAGGGTCACACTGGGCAGCAGGAAAATGTTTTCCCAGCAAGAGCCGTCAGTTGGGCTTAGTTTCTTTCTCCTTTGCTGTTGCTTTCGAGCTAATTGTTGCCTACAACCTCTCTTACTTTATGCCTTTGGCTCCCAGCAAATTCACTAGTCCCTCTTCAGTCGAGTCAGTGTTTGAGAGCAAAGCCAACATCTGCTTGATGGACTCTAATGCCAGCAGAAGCTTTTAATTAGATCTCTGCCCTCCGTCTTGACTCATCTGTCCACTCCCTTAAAAAATGGGAGTACAGGCTGCGGAGGTGGATTTTCAAGTTTTCAAGCTGATGATTCCTTCTTTCAGGAATGTGTAATCCTGATGTATCTGTTGCGGAACATTGTGTTGCTGTTGTACCAGATGAACCCAAAAAGGCGGAAGTGGTTGGTGGTTTGGGTTTTTCTTGTTTGTTTGTTTTTTTTTTTCCTCAAAATGAGTTAATGCTGAAGTCTTCATCCCAGATCTTCCTCTTTTAGACATGAGCACACACACTCCCAGCAGATAAGAGAATCCCAAGTGGCTGAGAAAACTCAACCTCACTTCAGCTGTCTCCTCCCCATCTTCCTATGAACCTTTCTGGCCAAGACCTGCCCATTTGACTTTCCTCTTACCACTCTTTAGAATTGCTTTTGCATCCAGCAAGGTGTCCTCATTTGTCGTTACGAGCGGTTCTTCATCTTCCTCTGGGCCCTTTCCGTGGCAAAAAGAAAGAGATCAGCCTTGTTTCTATGGCCAGGATGCTTGTAGCCTGCTCTCCCGTTACCTCTCTTCTTTGATTTTGTGCACTCGCCCTTCTCTCTGCTTGTTCAGGTCATGGTCAGATCCTCCTGTGTAGAGAACCTTCCGTGGCCACCTGGTGCCTGGCGCCCGGGTACTTCTAAATATGCTGCTCAAGCTTCATGGTGCCAGGCTCACACATGCTGATTTTAAAACCTGGTTTTGGCTCTTCAGTTACCTTGTAGGAGAAGAGCTCTGGGTGGTCATGGAGTACTTGGCGGGAGGTTCCCTGACAGATGTTGTGACGGAGACCTGCATGGACGAAGGACAGATCGCAGCCGTGTGCCGGGAGGTAAAGCAGTGCTTGTTCTCGGCGGTTGGGAAGGGGACCCGGGCTTTCTGTGACCTGTCCCTGACTCCACAGAGTGGCCGTCTCCAGCTTCCGGAATGTTCTTTTAGAGGACAGAGTTCATCTGGGAGGTTGCAGCTCATAATCCTAATGGAAACCTAATATGTTCCACCCTAGAGGGGGTACTGGAGTGCAAAATGGGATTGGAATCCTCTTGGTTACGCCTGTTCCCCAGGTGGTTTGGGACTAACTTGTCCTCCCAGGACCTGCTGATCCCAGTGGGGTATCTCTGTAGCCCCGCGCGCATTGAAGGTGTGAAAGACTCTTGAGATGCAAAGCTCTCTCTACTCAAAATGCAACTTGCTAGAGTCCATTAGTTGGCCGATTGGGACTGGTGAATATTTCATGCAAAGTAAGGATATCTCCATTATTTATTTTTATTTTTTTTCAGTGTCTTCAGGCTTTGGAATTCCTCCATTCAAACCAAGTTATTCACAGAGACATCAAGAGTGACAACATCCTGCTGGGAATGGACGGCTCCGTCAAGCTAAGTAGGTGGGGAAGGTTGCTGGTGATGATTTATCGACCCAGACCCAGGGTATTTGAGACCCTTGGTGCTGTGGTGATGAAGAAACACTCCTGTAGGTGTGACTGTGGCTTTGGTTTTGTCGCAGACAAGCAAACACGAATCCTTGTGAGCTGCCACCAGACTCAAAGTGAGGTTTGATGGTCATTTAGCTTTGGGCCACCTGTTTTTGGTGGACTGAAATAACAGTATTTTAATGCTAGGACAAGGGGGAACGGGTTCAAGTTGCGCCAGGGGGAGTTTAGATTGGATATTAGGAAAAACTTCTTCACTGAAAGGGCGGTGAAGCATTGGAATGGGCTGTTGAAGGAAGTGATGGAGTCACCATCCCTGAATGTGTTTAAAAACCGTCTGGACGTGGCACTTCAGGAGCTGGTTTAGTGTTAGGATGGTGTGGGGCTGTAGGTTTCACTTGATGATCTTAAAGGTCCTTTCCAACCTTGATGATTCTGGGATTCTGTTCTATGATTCTACTGCAGTCTAGAAAGCTGGGTTTGAAGATGTCTTTCTTTGTGGGTGATCCCTTCAGTCTGGAAATAAAACTGCAGGGACTTCGGGCGTCAAGGGGAGTGGAAGGAGAATTGAGAAATGTGTAACCAGAAAACATTTCATCGTACGACTGCGACCCAGATTGGACTCTAAATGTTGCTTTGTCCTTGTGTTACCACTGGGAATGAAGAGCTTTCTGCCCCTCAGGTGCTAAGGCAGCTGTTGTGCTTGCCATTGCCCGTGCAGAGAGAAGTCTGGAAAATGGTGAATAATTCTCTTCCACCTAGAGCTTTAACGGAGCTGCGCTTCCTTGCTCTCCCTCTCAGCTCTGTTGGCTAGCACCCAGCAGGCATAAATAAACCTATTTTTGTCAGCAGTGACAGCAGATATGACTCAAAACTCACACAGTGCAGATATGCTGAGTAAGAAGGTGGAGTCTTCTGCACAGAATTGCGTTTTAGACTAAAGCTGCGCTTTGCTACCATCGGTTCTTTGGATTATTGGCTCTGTTCTCGTGGAATAACTCTGTTCTTATGGAATAACTTCTCTGAGCACAGTGTGCAGGTACCGGGCTGCTATTTCAAGTTAGAAAAGTCCCTGTGGTGGATATGCTGCAGTAACCTTCTGGACGTGAGCTGCTTGTTGGCTCTGCTGGCGATTTGCTGTGTTTACGAACCATATGTACCTCTCCCTGGTTGTTACCTGTGATGAAAGCTCAGCTAGGGATCAGTTTAATTTTCATCATTCCGCCTAAAATTAGACCTGCAGTGCCTTAGGGGGTCAGGATGGGCAGTGCTTCTTGCTGTGTCGGTTCTGCTGGTCTCACAAGAACAGAATTAGTTTTCCTTCGTTAAATCAAATGCAGACGAGACACAGGACGTGGAGATCTTTGTATGAGGGCTCTCCATCTTTCTGTCTAATCGAAGAAAATAGTCAGTGCAATAATCAGTGCAAATTTAGGTACTTTAAATGTATTCACAACACTGTTTGCCCTGTGAAGCAAATCCTGTTTGAGGGATGGTTTATATATTGGGTAAATATATAAATAATGTATTTATATATTGGGTAGATAATTTATATATTGGGTAAATAAGATCCAAATATAGTTATTTACCAATCCCCGTTGTTCTCCTAGACAAATCATCAGTGGGGTGATGTTGTACCACAGATCTCTCACTCACGAGCATCGGTTTTGCCAAAAACTTACTGATTTCTGAGTTTGTTTCTTCCCCCTACTCCCCATCTTGAATTTTCCAGCTGACTTTGGCTTCTGCGCCCAGATCACCCCTGAGCAGAGCAAACGCAGCACCATGGTGGGGACCCCCTACTGGATGGCGCCCGAAGTGGTGACGCGCAAAGCGTACGGCCCCAAGGTGGACATCTGGTCGCTGGGGATCATGGCCATCGAGATGATCGAAGGAGAGCCCCCCTACCTCAACGAGAACCCCCTGAGGGTAAGCGAGTAGCAGCTGCTGGAATTGAAGGGGGTGGCTGAATCCTCTGGTGTGTGTTTCCCACCTGCAGCCCTGTTGATGCTGTAGTGAGATCAAGATAAATTTGGTTCTAAGCCGTAGCAGAGGTGTGGGTTCTTCCTGACCCTCTAGTCTAGTCTCTGCTGGGTTAGATCGTGCACGTTCAGAATTTCCCACTTCCTGGAGGTGCTGATAAGAGGCAGAAGGAGGACCTGAAGGCACCAAAGCAGCCGACTTCTTGAATCCTTGCGCCTTGCGAGTGCAGAAGAGTTCTCAAGTTCAAAAATACGACGTGTTACTATTCTATAAATGGAGCTTCTGATGGATTGTTCCTCCGTGCAGGCTCCAAATAAAGCTACAAGCTTAATAAGCCGTTAGACATGACTTAAGCCTTTTGATGTCTTTCCCTTGTGTAGTTTGTAATGAAAGGTGAGATGCTGTCAGTTCGTAGGAGCGGAACTGCTCTTAATAAAGCCAAGGTTTATGGCATCTCGCTCGGCAACACAGGATGAGGGGATCTAGAAAAGTTCATTTTGGCTTTTGTTTCCTTCTCCTTCACTGGAAGGGGTTTTGGGGAGAGAAGAGCAGCAGCAAGAAAGAAAATGGGTGTTGAGTTAAAGGAGGGTGGTGACTGAGTGAAACTTGCTTCTTTCTGCAAGAGATTAAAAGCTCCTCGAGGGGTCTGCTGGGCAACTTCTGTAAGGAGCCAACTGCGTCTTTGTCGTGTTGAATCTTTGCTCAGGCAAAGCGCAGACAGCAGAAAATCTCTTTGCCCAGGGGTACCTTCCCGTGAGGAGGGAGTTATTGCAGGAGTCTCTCACTAGTAGAGTCATGCCAGTTAACTTCCCTGCATAAACATGGTCTGGAATGTTGTTTTTTGTCCTCCTAATCCCTTGAGAGGGCTACAGGATCCAAACCCAGATTACAAAGGAAAAACAATAAAGGATTGGATCCCGTCCACATGACAAAAAATGGGGCTGGCAGCTATTCTGTTTGCTGAAACTTAAGCATCGGTTGGTCACCCTGATAAGGTGGATTTTTTTTTTACCTCCTCATTGAACCAGGGAGGGAGGAAGAGGAGGAATGGGTGTTGGTGATCCAGAAAGGGAATCGAGCCTTTGTAACGCCCCATTTCATTGGGTTTTGCTTTAGGCGCTGTATCTCATTGCTACTAACGGGACTCCGGAACTGCAGAATCCGGAAAAGCTTTCACCCATATTCCGAGACTTTTTAAATCGCTGTCTGGAGATGGATGTGGAGAAGAGAGGTTCCGCGAAAGAGCTGCTGCAGGTGGGTGCTGGGGAGCGGCGCCGAATCAGCGGCGTCGTGCATTCCCGAGCGAGGTTGGGCTTATGGTGAGGTCTCGTTTAGGGTCTTAAACACTGTGTCAGCTGAAGGCAGAAGCACAGCTAAGGTAACCTGCTAGGAAAAAAAACAACAGAAAATCCCCCACCCAAAAAACCAAAAATCCAGAACCAAGTCCAAAACCTCGGATAAAGTGTTAACAGACTACTCGCTTTTCCATAGAATCATAGAATGTGTTGGGTTGGAAGGGACCGTTAAAGGTCATCTCGTCCAACCCCTGCAGAGAGCAGGGACAGCTGTCACTGGGGCAGGCTGCTCAGAGCCCCATCCAGCCTGACCTGGAATGTCTCCAGGAATGGAGCCTCCAGCACCTCTGGGCAACCTGGGCCAGGGTCTCACCACCCTCAGAGTGAAGAACTTCTTCCCAATATCTGATCTAAAGCAATCCTGCTCTAGTTTAAAACCATCATCCCTTTTCCTATCATCACATGTCCTTATACAAAGTCCCTCCCCAGCTCTCCTGTAGCCCCTCCAGGCAGGAGAAGGTGCTCTAAGGTCTCCCCTTCAGGAGCCTTCTCTTCTCCAGCTGAACAGCCCCAGCTCCCTCAGCCTGTCCTCGGAGCAGAGGAGCTCCAGCCCCTTAGCAGCTCTGTGGCCTCCTCTGGACCCGCTCCAACAGCTCCACGTCCTTCTTGTGTTGAGGGCTCCACAGCTGGATGCGGTACTGCAGGTGGGGTCTCAGCAGGGCAGAGCAGAGGGGGCAGTAGCTGTGCAGCTGTTCTGTCACCAACCTCCCGTACCAGCTGTGTCCCAGGCCCACCAGATGTGACCCCCTCGATTCCTGTGGTTTCATCACGCAGCTCGCTGCGGCATCTCAGCGTGGTGTCTGGATCTGACCAAGCTTGTTCTGATTTGGACAGCAGAGGGGCTTCTCTCAGACGTTCTGCTGGTTCTGGTGGACGGACCACGGAGCTCTCTGGAATACATATGGCTTGTGTTAAGCGGAGAAGCTTGGTGTTTTCATAGAATCACAGGCTGGTTTGGGTTGGAAGGGACCTTAAAGATCATCCAGTTCCACCCCCTGCCCTGGGCAGGGACCCCTCCCACCAGCCCAGGTCGCTCCAAGCCCCGTCCATCCTGGCCTTGGGCACTGCCAGGGAGGGGCTGCCACAGCTGCTCTGGGTGACCTGTGCCAGGGTCCCACCACTCTGTCATCAGTTACTTCACTGAGAACCTGGTGTCTCAGTGTGACCCCCTGGTGAAACGGGAGGGCCTCGCTGCCGGGCTTTTTATGGCTGAGAGGGGTGGTTCATGTCTTCCTTCTGTCAAATTTTCCGTGGGTGTGGAAAATGTGGCTTTGTGAAATAAATCTGTGACCGCGAGCACTCGTACCTCAGCCCTGAGAGAGTTCCTTCTTGTGTTTTCCTTTCTGTCCACTACTTTGGCTGGCAGGTTCAGTTTTGGATGTGTTGCTGCTTTCTGAGATTAATGAGGTATTAATCAGTGGCAGTAATTGAAAGATCACTTTTTCTCCTGGACTTTCCAGCCCAAGAAACCAGAGAACATTAATGTTTTTCTCCTCAGAGCAGGAGAACATTTTGCCTGTTACACATCTACCTGCTTTTAAGTACCTTTTGTCCTCTGATTTTTAAATTTTTTTTATTTTTTTCCCCCAATCTCTGAAGTGTGTTACCTGGGTGATCGATCCCTTCTGATGCTCAGAAGTCCTGTGGGATATAGTTGCTTTTTTGTATTGAGAACAGCTTGTGAACTTCGCTCTAGATTTCACGTGACTTTATAGAATCACAGACTGGCCCAGGCTGGAAGGGACCTCAGAGATCATCTAATCCAACCTCCCTGTCACAGGCAGGGACACCTCTCAACTAGATCAGGCTACTCAAGACCCCGTCCAACCTGGCCTTGAACACCTCCAGGGAGGGGGCAGCCACAACATCTCTGGGCAATTTATTCCAGAGTCTTGCCACCCTCGTACTGAAGAATTTCTTCCTAAAATCCAATCTAAATCTGTTCTCCTTCAACTTAAACCCATTTCCCCTTGTCCTATCAGTGGACACTCTTGTAAAAAGTCCCTCCCCAGCCTTCCTATAGGTTCCCTTCAGGTACTGGAAGGCAGCTGTTAGGTCCCCCTGAAGTCTTCTCTTTTCCAGACTGAACAATCCCAGCTCCCACAGCCTGTATAATTCCCTTTGGTCTTGAACATGTACAAAAAACCTAAAGAGTTTGGCATGTGTTGGGTGCAATCTGTTCATAACAAGTTTGTGGTGGTGGTAACAAACCTTTTGGTTTCATCTGTTGAGAGATGAGAATAGGTTGTTAGACTCAATGCCAATATTTTGAGTAGCCACCAGCCTTCTGAGGCCTGGTGTGAAAAGCATTTTAACCCTTTTTCTTTTTCCTCCTCCCTAGCACCAGTTCCTGAAAATCGCGAAGCCTCTGTCGAGTCTCACTCCTCTGATTATTGCAGCCAAAGAGGCGGCGAAGAACAACCATTAAAGAGGTGGAGCCAACACCGTCGTGGTGTCAAGGCTTTTAGATGTTCGTTTCGGAGACTGAGATTCCTGTCCCTCTCCCCTTCTGCCCCTTCTTCTCAGGGGGGCTTCTTAAAACTTCGGGGCAGAGGTGTTGTTCACCGACCATGGAAGGGCACGCAACCGGGACGTCGCTGATCTTACGTAGAGAAGATCTTTCTGAAGAACGCCTGAACCGACTACATGTAGCGAAGCCACTTTGTTTTCGTATTCCTTAACCATGTTTATTTTTTAAAGCAATGTGAAGCCTTAGACCGTGTTTATCTTAATAAATTAAATCTGTTGCTGGCCGGGCTTCTCCTGCTTCTGCTGAGCTGCTGTTCCACCACCGAGGCTGCGCCGTGCTTTGGGTGACCTGAGGAGGGATGGAAGCGGGGAGCAGAAATCCAAAGAGCTGTGACAACGTGTGACAACTCATCCCTCCTGCAGCGCTGCTGGATCCTTCGAGGGAGCGTGGAAAAAACCTCCCTGTGCTTCCTGCAGCCATCAGAGAACTTAATTCGTGGGTGATCTTTTTGCCAGATGGTGTGAATTGGGCTTCCCCCCCTCCCTCTTTTAATTCCAGCCCAGCTACTTAAACACATCTCAAACATTTCTGCTGTTCTAGGAGGTACATCACAGGAAAAAAATGACAGAGAGCTCTTTTAGGGTGGTTTTATCTGCACTGTGAGGCTTCTTAGAGACCCTTGCTCTCTATGATAAAGCAACCAGAGCCATTACTGTTATAAAGATAAGATTCGTCTGCGAAACGATATCGAAAACTCTTTGTTTCTTAGAGCAAGTCCAATGGAAGACAAACTGATAGTGGATGCTGCTTTCTTTGTGGGGACATTCATTTTTTCTTTGAAACGATAGCGGTTTCTTTATGCTACTGATTCCTGTCGTTGCTCATAGTCTGTAAAACGACAGGAAACTCGGCAGGGGCTGGTTGTAAACACTGGGTTTGTGTTCGGCTCTGTACTGATTTTTAATAAAAGTGACTGCTGCGTTTCTTAACTTGGGGCCGAGGGAGGATCGGAGAATTCGCTGTCACTGGACAAATCTGTGGGATGGGATCTTTGCTCGCACTGCCACCGGGTGCTTGAAGGTGGTGGATGAAGTGACGTAACCTTGTCTGTTTTCCCTTCTTCTGTACTCCTTTGGGACAGCACGCGACTCTCAAGGAAGTAACTTTACACGTAGAGAAAATCCATAAAAGATCTGTGTCACAGCTGGGGGAGCTGCTTTCTCTGTGCTGCCTCAGTCATTTTTGGCCTGAGTTTCAACCCACTCTGGGGTAATCTCATCTCTCTCCAGAGCACCTGTGGCGCTCAGAAACTCGTTCCTGCTTCTTGCCGAGCCCTGCTGCTGCCTCAGCCCTTTGCTCCCTGCACCTGGGGTTTAATTCAAATAATTTTCTCCCGTTCGCTCCATGCTATGTGACAGCTCTTCCACTGGTTTTGCTGGGTGTAGGTGGAGTTGTGAGCTCTTGCTTCTGCTTCTGTGGTGCCTTTCCCCCAGCCTTCGTCTTCCAGGGGAGGTTGCTGTTTGACACGAGGATCAAGTCCATTGCCTAAACGTGCAGCCCTTTCTCCCTTCATGGATATATGTTTCATGTCCCTGTCATATCAAGAGGTTTCGCCTCACAAAGTCTGTGTCCAGGGATGAATTCCTCAGGCAAAACCGTGAAGCTGCCAGCCTGAAGAGGGAGATCATCTATCGATGAGTTCTTATGATCTAAAATCTCATAGAGTTCTGGTCTTACAGTTTTGGCAACTGACTTTTAAATTTTTTTTTCACAGCAGGGGATTAAATCCAATCCACAAATGTGTTTAATGTCTCTGCCCTCCATGCCTACGGGGTTGAGAACCTTATTGCAAGCGTGTCCCATTGGCGAGCACGCACGCGAGCTTATTTTTCCATAATGAGGTTTCTGCAAAATTTTCCCCAATAATACAGAAGAGGTTATTTATGTTTAAGTTGTTCTTCTGCATGATGGTGAGGAATCTCTGCAAGTGACTGTTCATCCCTCCTTTTATGCCAGTGATGCCCCGTCCAGAGGGACCTTGACAGGCTGGAGAA